GGGGGGCCGGGAGCCGCCCTCGATGAACCGGCAGCCAGGGTGAATCCTGCTTCCCTTCCATCTGAGCCAATCTTCAATTAGTCTTCCATTTCTGGGGGACGCAGGTGGCTTCTTGGCACGTTGGTGGTTGGTTATGGTGTTTTTTTTTTAAAGCGTGAAACAGGAGTGAGAAAGTTAACAGGGTGACACAGATAACACGATATTTTATTCTCTGTTCATCGCTGCTGTCCGGCAGCGCAGAGCAGGACCCTGTATTAATGCCTTAAACCCCTCTGATGGCATCATTGCTTCCAAACCGCCGCCGCGGGCGAAGGCTGAGCCGGGTGTGCGGGCAGGTGTGTAACCCGGCAGGTGGGTGCACACCCCCGGGGACCCCCGGGAACCCCTGGCAGCCGGTGTCCCCTGTCCCTGCGGCGGCTCTCGGAGCACGGCAGCACTGCCATCCCTCACCGACGTGTCCCACGCTCGGCGTGTGCCAAGGAGCCGGGTTGGCACAGGGACACCATTGGCTTCCCCTGCCCCGGCTGTGCCCCAGTTTTCCGCCCGAGCCCCCCAAGGACGAGGTGCCCACTGCAGGCAGAGTGCCCTGCTCAGCCTTTATTTTTTAGGCTTTGCTGCCACCAGCTGGAACAATTATTTTTATCATAAACTCAGTTTCAAGGCCGTGGTTTTGCTCTTCCAGCCTGGCAGAGACAGACCTTCACATCACGCGCAGGGTTTGTCCCCGGTGGGCACGTCACGGCCCCGGAGTCTCGCTGTGTGTTTGGCTCTCAGTGTGGTTTACTGGTTTCTGACCATGGATGTGAACAGTCTGAGCTGGTCGGGTGGGATTTGGGTGTCAGTCTTGAGACGGGGAGGGTAAAATCTGCTGTTGGGGCAACCAGGGAAAAGAAATAAGCTATAAAATGTAAAAGGCTGGCAGAAGGAGGGATAAGGGGGTCTGAAAGGAGCTAGGCTCTGTTACAGGGCAAAACTTGGTGAGTGAATTCCTGGAGTTGGACTGGGATCCCCCACCAAGGCTGGACCTGAGTGTGCAACCAGCTGGGAGAGCTGCTGGGGTAACTGGGACGTCCTGGAGTCGCTGGGCTCCAGGGCTGGCACCATCCTGACATCAAGGCAACACCTATGGAGAGCTGCGTGGAAAGACTTGCAACAACCTGAAAATAATCTTTTTTGGGTGTTATAAAATACTGTAGTTATTTCCTTCCCGTCTGTCTTTACCCCTCACGAGCCCAAATCTGCTCACCCACCTGTGAACCGAAGCAACATGCAGAGCTCAGATGTCACGAAAAACGCCCGAGTCTGGCTTTTCTGCCCTTAAAAATCTTCGTTTCACTTTCTTTTCGCAGTAGAGCGCTGAACCGCGGGACGGGCCCCTTGCCTCTCCCGCCGCCCCTGGACGGGCTCCTCTTGCTCCCGGGGCTCCTGCGTGGGACCCGAATTTGCAGAGCCCGGCGGTGCGGGGGGTGAGCACGTGGTGCACCCGCAGCTCTCCTCCCCTTCGGGCAGCTCTAGAAGAAACTCAGCTGGAATTTCCCTCCGGAGGTTTCACTTGTCCCCAACTTCCTTGTGTTAAGCGCTCTTATCTACAATTTCAGTGGTGGCCTGAGATGAGAAATGGGCTGCATTTCATTTTTTTTCTGTGTGGGGAAGGGCTTCTTAAGCATCTCCAGCTTAAATCCACCATCTTTTTGTCTGATGAGGGGTCCCACACTGCAGCCCAGCCAGTGCGTACCCGTGCTGCACCCGGAGCCTGCACCCAGAGCATGTGAGCTCGGCCAAGGCTACATGGACAGATTGATGGTCCTGTTTGGAGGGGGACAAGCAGAGGCTGAAGGACACAGCTACCACTTGTGTAGAAAATAAGGCTGGAAATTACTTCAAGAAGTCACCCCGTCCCTTTCTCTTCCTGTTAGCTGAGCTGCAGCAAAATGACTTTAATCAAAGTGATTTAAAGTTTCGCTTGGTTAGACTCACGTCACGCCGCTTCCGCAGCTGCAGACTGCCATGTACTCGGCTACCCTGTGCCATTGTGAGATGCCCCTTCAACGAGCTCAGGGCAAGGGCCTGCCCCTGCCCCAGAGCTCAGCAGCTCTCTGGTGGGTTTCTCAAGCAGACTCACACGTGGCTGGGAAATGAAGCTCAGCAGTAATTAGCAAACTAGTTAGGCACAGAGTTTGTGTGCAGACAGATGATGTGTCATACTGATTTTTGGATGCACCACACACTGATGTACTCAAATATCTTTGCAGGTTTCATTTCGTGAGGACAAAGCCTTCAGACACACGTCCATGCCAACCTGAAATAATTCCTGCCAGTGAGACCCCGGCTGCTGGCACTGAGGCTGGGTGAGGGATGGGTGTCTCTGAGCCAGAAAGCGAGCAGGAAGGGCGAGCAGCCCTGAATGCCCTGCATCCCATCCTGCATCCCACATGTCACCCCACATCCCACCTGGCATCCTGTGTCCTGCCCTGCACCCCACATACCACCCTGCATCCCACATGTCACTCCGCATCCCACATCCCACCTGGCATCCTGTGTCCTGCCCTGCGTCCCACATACCACTCTGCATCCCTCATCCCACCCTGGATCCTGCATCCCACCCTGCGTCCCATGCTGCCCTGCATCCCACCTTGCCCTGCATCCCACATCCTACTCTGTATCCCACATCCCACCCTGCACAGTGCTGGGGATTTGGGGCTGGTTCTGATGCCCCTCCAGGGACATCCCATGGAGGCACTGCGGTAGCTCTGGATTCGGTTCCCGGCGGGGCTGTGCCGTGGCCCTTCTGTGAGCATCGTGGGTGCCACCGCTGACGGTGTGGCATGGACAGTGTCCGTGTTCGCGTGGGGAACAGCGATGCTCAGCCCTGACACAGCCACCTTCGCTTTTTCTCGCTGAGATGAGCAGTCCCTGACCCACCTGAGCCGCTGCGTGACTCCGCTGAGAGCGATGCTGGCGGGGGGGCGGCTCGGGAGCAGCCGTGGCTGGAGCCGAGGAATCCCTGAAATCTCCCCTCTGGAAGCGTTTGCAGGTGCCAGGGCCAGGCTGGATCCGTTGCTTCACACATGGGGGATGGTTTTGCGGCTGGAGGAAAGATCAGGGCTGTTCGCTCTGTTTGCACCTGCTTCCTCCCTTCTTTTCTCCACTTTATTATGAGCAGTTTTACCTGCTCCAGGGCTGCCCATGGGCTGCATCCATCCCTGCAGCTGGATGTAGGACCTGAAACTCCTGCACAGCAGCTCTTGGAGATGGATGGCTTGAGCTAAACCACCCTGGCCTTGGCAC